GAAAAATGGTGTTTAAACCTTAAAATAGTATTACCAACAAGGGACTTTAGATTCACTAAATTATAGTTTTGTTGTTGCTTTTTGATACTGAGGATTTTGGGGTGCTGGTGGTATCCAGAGCCTCATGAATGCTAGGTGAGCATTCTACCACTGAGCTGTATTCCCAGCCCTGTATGATTCTTACGTAAAGAGAGTCTTAGCTACTACACACAGTGATGCGTGCCTGTAATTCCAGCACTCTGGGAGGCTGAGGCAAGAAGATCACAAATTAGATCCCAGCCTGGACATTTTAGTGACTCAGCAAAAACCTCAAAATTAAAGAAGGGGGCCAGGGATTTAGCTCAGTGGCTCCATGCCTGCCTCACAAGCGCAAGGTCCTGAGTTTGATCCCTCGTACAAAAAAAGAAAAAAGGAAGGGAGGGTATACTGGACTGGATTTCTCTTCCCATATTGAGACCCTGATTTAGATTATGTGATTCAGTAGCTAAGATTAAAAACAATTTTTTTATGTGATGGGAAGTATTAAGATTCTCAGTTTCCTAAGCGATAGCCGTGCCTTATTTTTTACTGAATGTGTCCCTTTTAGGGTTATTGTCCCCTTTTCAAAGGGGAATAATAACAGTATCCTGCTCAGGGTCACTAAGAGAGTTGAATAAGATAATACATGTAGTTGTGTCTCTCTTTTTTTCTTTCTCTTTTTTTCTACATCCTCGGCCTTTTAAAAAAATTTTAAAATTTGAGACAGGGTCTTTCTAAATCACCCAGGCAGGCCTCAAACTTACAGTCCTCCTACCACAGCTTCCTGTGTAGCTGGATTTTAGGCATGCACTTCCACCTGGTTTTGTAGTTGTCTCTTATGGTTCCTGATACATTGTGTAGGCCAAAATTAGTTTAACATGTTGTAGTATTATAATTATTGGTACTGTATTATACTATAAGAAAGCCATTTATCTTTGTATATCCTCATTTTAGATGTCCAGTCTATAAAATATGAATAGTCTCGTTTCCCAAATTTCATGTAATGGTAAGAAGATAAACAATTTCAAAGATTTGAAAATTTTTCTAATAAGATAAATTCAATGTACAGGGTATTCTATTATTTTAAAGATACTTTTGCTTCCCCTTTAAAAACAAACAACAAAAAATTCTTGCATCAAGAAAGCTAAAAAGTTCCTAGTGTATAAGAGAATAATTGTTTAGTCCGAAATAAAAAATATTTTGGCCCAAATAGAAATGAGATTAGAGTATAAAAATTGAAAAGTTTTTTGTTGTTTTTGTTTTCATTGAGACAGGTTCTTTCTGTGTATCCCAGGCTAGCTTAGAACTCATGGCAATCCACTTGCCTCAGCTTCCTAAGTGCTAGGATTACAGGATTACCCCCATGCACAGTTGAATTTTGTTTGTTTATTTTTGGTTTTTGTTTTTTTGGTATCAGGGATCAAACTTGGGACTTTATGTTTGTGAGGCAGGTGGCAGAACCACTGAGCTACATCCCCAGCCCCGCAGTTGAATTTTTAAGGAAACCTCTGTTCAGTGCCTTAGGCACCGTTTCCTGTTCCTCATCCTATTTTCCATGACAGGAGCTCAGTGAGGGATAGCTATATAGTCCTGCCATTAGCTCAGGTTCAATTTGATTGTTTCACAGCTAATTCTCTACATCAGTCCATTGGAGTGAAGTGTTCATTTAACAGGATATTGGCATTCTAAGATAATTTTCCTCTCTTACAGATGAAGTGCCAGGAACAGAAAAGTTAATGTGCTATACTTAACATTGTATTTGGGATTGAAAATACAACATACACTGTTTCCAGTTCCATTTCCAGTTGTACTGTAGGGCACACTGGGAAGTGTGTGCAAAGGTCTTTGGTCTCACGCTTCCTGTGGGCCCACGGGCACTCAGTGGCTCTGTCTAGGACTGTTAAACATCCAGGAATTTGACGGACAGTCCCATAGGAAGAGTAGCTGACCCACCTGAAATATCATGGCTCTCTTATGTAAAAATTTTGACGTCTTACTTGGCCTCCTCCCAAGGCAGGCATGTTTCCTTTCCCTAATTTTCTTATCTAAAAGAAGTTATTTCTTTAGTTAAGTCTTTTGGGTTAGAGTGGCATGTGTTCAAGGCATTTCTCTGGAAATAACCTAATCGTGTTGGGATTTTTTGTTGCCATGTTGATGGGACAGGCTGGGCAAGAATCCTTCCGTTCTATCACCCGTTCCTACTACAGGGGAGCAGCGGGAGCACTCCTGGTGTATGACATTACAAGGTGAGCCAGCTGTGGTGTGTGGGAGGCAAACACTTCAGAAGCTCTCTGAGCTTTACTTCTCTATTGGCTGGTTTTGTAAAACAGTCCTTCGCTTCTCATACAGTTGGAGTTGCTTTGGCCTTTTGAAATGGCCTTCTGACCAACTTTCTAAACTTTTGTGCTGTAGGCGTGAGACCTTCAATCATCTGACCTCATGGTTAGAAGACGCCCGCCAACACTCCAGTTCCAACATGGTTATCATGTTAATTGGAAATAAAAGGTAAACATTTTATCTTTATGAGCAACAGTTACAGGATTCATCTAGGCCCTCTGTAAACATTGAATTTTTTTGGTTTCCAGACCTTTTTCTTTTATTGTGGTACAATATACATAGCATAAAATATGCTGTTTTAACTATTTGGGTAGAGATACAAATTTGGGGGTTTTGACATCTCCCTTGTCTTCATATAGCTTGTGCATAAATGAAAATCTTGTGAATTTGTCACACTTCTGGATTTTTTTCATGGTTGAAAAACTGGAAACCTTTCAGGTTTAAAAAAATAAAAAATTTAACACCTTTTTCATTTCTTGCTTTTTTTTTTCCTTGCTTTTTTTGTTTTGTTTTATTTTTTGAAACAGGGTCTTGCTGTGTGTTTCAGGCTGGCCCTGAACTCACCACGTAGCCCAGACTATCCTGGAACTCAGTGATTCTCCTGCCTCAGTCTCCGAAGAGCTGGGATTACAGGCGTGCATCACGTCTGGTTTTAACCTTATTTTTCTGTCAGCTTATTATTGACAGTCTTTTCATGCCACTTCATTCCCTTTCTTGATCCTTGGTTCTTTTTCTCCTGTAACTGCCTAGTCTTACTCAGTCGCCACCTCCAATTCCCTTGTACAGAGGAAATTGAGCCTCGTGAGAGCAAGATGTTTCTACTCTCCCTGTTTCTGCTCTCACTCTTGTTGCTGGTTGATTTCAGTAGAAGACACTCATCACTGCAACATGAGAAATTCTAGGACTTTTCTACTTTCTAGCAAATAGTGCTTTTCTTTCACTACCTCTATTTTGATCTCCTGGATCTCATTTGCAAAAGAAGCATAGAGTGTAAGCTTTGAGTGAAAACAGGGCTTATCTTCTAACCCTTAATAAGGTTTTTTTCCCCCCTGTAATAGAGTAAGGTATTAGCATTAGGCATTCAACAGCTGTCCTAAATCTGAAGAATATTTTCCAAGAGAAATCAGTAACCCTGTACAAGAGAGTATCATGTAGGGTGTATGTTCCTTATGGATTAACTGGCAATTGAAGCTGCTGTGGAATTGTTTTAGATTTTATTTGGATTTTTTGTGTTGTTTTTGTTTTTTAGTTTTCTCCCCCAATTGATCTCTTGCAGTGATTTAGAGTCCCGTAGGGATGTGAAGAGAGAGGAAGGAGAGGCCTTTGCTCGGGAGCATGGATTAATATTCATGGAAACTTCAGCCAAAACTGCCTGCAATGTTGAAGAGGTAATATCTGGGGAAAAGTGGGGAAGTTTTTTGGAGGTATCACCTTTGTCTTCGTGGGGTTACTCAGAATTCTCTTCTCCAGTAAGACAAGGGTAAAGGAGGCCTATCTTGGGGACGCATAGTGACTAATTGTCTCCATTAAGGGGCTTGTCCTGTTATTGTTTACCTTGATTCCTAAGGTTTTACTTTTTCTTTGGAAACTATTAATGGATAAATAAATGGAAAGTAGACACCACTACTACTTGTAAGTTACTTTGTTGAGGGATTTAACGAGTACTACTGCAGTCATTCCTAGCCTGGGGTTAACTGTATCTTCAATAACTAATAGAGAAGAGAGCGTATGTATTTTCTATGGAGAGGGTGCCAACCTAGGAATCCTAGGAACATCTTGGATGGATACCAGAATGCCATTTAATCCACCCCTCCCCCCTTTTAAACTACTCAGTGATTTTTATAGGAGCATTTTTGGGGGGAGGGGGAAATCTATTTTTTGCTCCCTTCTAACGGTTCCTAATTCATCTTAGAAATTCAAATAGGAATAATATTTGTGTTCTCTTTCCCTCGTTTCTTTACCAAAACTTAAGACTGATAAATGATTTTTGTCTCCTTTAGGCCTTCATTAACACAGCCAAAGAAATCTATAGGAAGATCCAGCAGGGTTTATTTGATGTTCACAATGAGGTGAGAAACAGTGGAGGTGAAGTGCTGGCTGTTAACTGTTTATTCTGAACAGGGACGGAGGAGGCCTAGAATGTGAGCACTCCTAGAAATACTAATTGTAGTCCTACCAATTCAAGCTTGTTTTGTGTTTTTTTAATGAAGGTACATAGAAACAGTCATCATTTTCTCTTTTTCCCTCAAGTCTGAGACTTGGAATGCTTAAGAGATTATCAATAGGTGATTTAAAAGACTCACATAAAATGGCAGTTTTTCTTCTCAAATTCAGTTTTCTTTTCTTTTTTCTTTGTACTAGAGATTGAGCTCAGGACCTTCACTCTGAGTCACATCCCCATCCCTTTTTAAAATTTTTATTTTAACATAAAGTCTGTCTATAAATTGCCTAGGCTGCCCTGCCTCCTGCCTTAGCCTCTCACCAAGCTGGCAGGACAGGTGTGCTCTACCATCCTCAGCTAAAACTCAATTTCTTATTCCATAGCATGAGGGAAGTATAATTCCCAATTACTCAGGAGGGCCATTTCTATGAAGCACATTCTCAGACAAAACAAAAGTGAATCATATGCTTATATGGTACTTTTGCTTCCTCCCACTGTTTTGTTTTTGTTTTTTGTAGTGCTGGGGATTGAACTGAGGGAGCTCTGAGCTGTATTCCCAACCCCTCTCCTTTAAAAAAAAAGATTTAGTTATGGTAGAGCCAGAGAAGGGAAGGAGAAGCAGGACTTTTATTTTGAGAAAGGATCTAAGTTGCCCAAGCTGGCCTTGAATTCATGGTCCTCCTGCCTCAGCCCCCTGAGTACCTGGGATTACAGGTATGTGCCACTGCCCCAGGAACTCCTTTTCTAACTTACCAAATCTTAATTCTGCATATAGCTGTGAAACTTAAGTTTAACAATGCACCTTAAAAAGAGGTGCAAAAAACCCAGGCATAGTGGCACATACCTGCAATTCCAGTACCCTGCAATGCTGAGGCTGCAGGATCACAACTTTGAGCCCAGCCTGGGCAACTTAGGGGCTTAGCAAGACCCTGTCTCAAAAAATCAAACAAGATTGGTAGTGTAGCTCAGTGTGAAGACTGTGGGTTCAATCCCCAGAACTTCAAAAAATAATATTCCTATACTTGTATCTGTATTTTGTTTGTTTGTTTGTTTTTGTTTTTATTTTCAGTACTGGGGATTGAACTCGGGACCTTGCACTTGTAAGGCAGGCAGCAGAACCACTGAGCTAAATCCCTGGCCCTTGTATCTGTATTTTGAAGTAATATTTAAAATTCTCCCAAGTGTGTGGGCACTTGCTTATAATTCCCAGCACTCTGGAGGCTGAGGCAGGAGACTCAACACAAGTTCAAGGCCAACCTGAGTTACATAGTGAGTTTAAGGCCAGCCACGGCTACATAAGAGAAACCCTGTCTCAAAAAAAAAAAAAAAAAAAAAAAAAAAAAAG